AATATGATTAAAAACTAATTATAATTATATTTACTATTATTATTATTATTATTATTATTATTATTATTATTATTATTATTATTATTATTATTATTATTATGAATAATTATTTTTTGATTTTTTTTTTTTCGCAGATTAAATATAGTATATTTATTAAATTTATAAAATTTTTTTATATTATTTTATTTTGATATTTTATTTCTATTAATTTTAAATTAAGGTTATTTTTTATTCTTTTATTACCTTAATTTTATTATTACTATTATTTTTTTTTATATAAATCATATTAAAAAGTAATTTATTTTAATTTTTTTGATAAATTTAATTTTTTCTAATAAAGATTAATATAACCATATTTTTTTACTTATTTTATTTTATTACTATAATATTATTTTTATATTATCTATATTTATTTTTATTTTTAATTTTATACATTTAAATACCTTTATTTTAATAATTTTTATCTATAATATTTTAAAAATTTTATAGCTATTTTTATTTTTTTTTATTTAGCGTTTATAAATATATTTTATTATGCAAAATTAAAATTTATTTTAAAAGATTTTTTTTGTTTAAAAAAATAATTGCATTTTAAATTAAATATTTATTTAATATTTTTTTATCCATTTTAATTTTTTTTTATAGTATATTATAATATTATAATTTATTAAATGCATATATAATAATAAAATCAAACTTTTATTCGTTTAAAATTATATTAAATTAAATATATTTTACTTTTTATTTATAAAATAAAGCAATAATACTTTATAATAAAAAAAGTTTTCAATAAATATTTATTTGTAGTTATATTTTTATTCATTTACTGCTTTTTTTAAAAAAATCTAAAAAAGAATAATTATATTTATTCATATGGCTTAATTATCGTTTAATTGTAATTAATGTTAACATCAAAAAGTAAATCAATAAAAAAGGCCAAAAAACAGGTAAATTAAAAATCTAAAAGAAACTACAAAATAAGCTTAATATACTAGACATTGTAAAATTGTGCCAAAGTTTAAATTCATTCATAGATCTTAAAAGAGGACCTTGATCTTCATTATTTTTTGTTTCTTATATAATATTATTTTCCTCATCTTGATATTTATCATAGTCTTCCAGTTCTCCTATTTCTGGAAGACCTTATGGGGTTAGAAATTAAACTAATAAATGTAATAAATTAAGTGAATAAATATACGAAACTACGTAAAAACCTCCAATATAGGAAATACGTATAATGTAACATAAAACTAAAAATCCAGTAAAAATCCATCTTTTTTAGGGAAAAATTACATATTTTTCCACTTTCTTTAGATATGATTTATGTAATTTTTCTAATAAATTTAATTAATTTTCTTCTTGCATATTTTTTTTATTTATATATTTTTAGATTTAATTATTTATTTATTTAATTTTTAAAAAAAATCAATTTATTATGTAAAATAATAAAATTACTGAATAACTTATAAATAAAAATAAATAATTTAAAAGCCGTATTTTCTATTCATTTTTTCAATCTCTATTGTTGAATGCAAAATTATCAAAAGTTTAAATTAATCAAATATTTTTATAAAAATATCCGCCTATATATATTTTATGGAAATTAAACATTCAATAGTGATAAATATATTTATTTTATTATTATTGTTAGTTTAATTTTGGATATTAATTACTTTTTTTGGAATATATAAGGAATTATATGGAGTATTTATTTGATAAAATAGATTAATAAAAACATATTTCTTATAGAAATTCTTATATTTATAAAATTTTTATTTTACTAAAAATTTTTTAAATGTAGTCCGAATTTCATTTAATTTATTATTTTATATATATATTATTTTGAATTAATTAAAAAATAATAATTTATTTATTTTTTTTTAAAAAAATAAAGCATTTATAAAATAAAAAAAAAGGTATAAAAAAACAATAATATAAAAAAAGTAAAAATATTAATAAAAAGAGAAGAAAAGAAAAAATAAAAAAAAATAAAGAAAAACAAAAAAATAAAAAAGAAAAAAAAGAAATAAAATAAATTAATATATAAATATATATCTAAAAAAATAAAAATAAAAAAAATGCAAGTACAAGTGCTTTCACTTGATGGAACAACTCAAGTTTATTCCGTATAAGCTGAATAAAGCATCCAAGAATTAAAATACCAAATTAGCAAATAATTCGGATTAGATGAAGGAATGCTTACTTTAGTATAGAATGGATGTGCTTAGGGAAATAATGAGAAAGTAGCTGATGATTCTACTTATTATTTATCATTGAAATTATTAGGAGGTAAGAAGAAAAAGAAAAAAAATCCTATTCTAGTAAGAAAAAATCTATCCATAAACATAAGTCAACAAAATGTGGGGCTTTAAATTATTATAATGTAGATGGATCAGGAAAAGTTACATTGAGATAAAAGAACTGTCCTAAATGTGGGCCTGGAATTTTCATGGCGAAACATTATGATAGACATTATTGTGGAAAATGTCACCTCACTCTTAAAATCGATGCTGAAACTGCCAGAAAAAATCTCGAAGAATTAAAAAAAAGACAAGAAGCGAAAAATGTTGGTGCAGGAGAAGCAGGAGATAAAGCTGGTGGTGCTGGTAAGAAAGATGCTAAGAAAGCTAAGAAGAAAAAATGAAGAATAGAATTATTTTTTTTATTTAAATATTTTTTTAAAAAAAAGAAAAAAAATATTATATTTTTTTTTATTTAAACTTTTTTAATATTTTTTTTTTTTTTTTTTTTTTTTCATATATATTTTAATTTACATAAGTATTTAAATATTTGTAAAAATTCAAGCTTTTCTTTTTCAGTTTTGGCTTGTAAATCTAATGTTCGGTCATTAAAAATTAAAGAAAAAGAAAGGCTTTTTTCTAAGTCTGTTTTATATTTGAAATTTTGGTAATTCTTTGTTTTTCGACCTTCTATGTAGAATTCTTGCATTTATTATAATGAAATACATTTTTGGGTTTAAATATTATCCTTTTTTGACCAACATAGATATTATAAATCTTATGAAATGTAAATATTTCTTATTTAGGGAAAGAATTTATTATTTCGACCGTATTTTTTCATAGTGAATATTTTTTTGGGAATTTCTTATATCCAGCTTAATTATTTTTCAATGTAAGGGTCTTTTACATCTAATTAAAGTTTAATATTAAGTTTTGTTTGAGTTAATTCATTTTCCGGCTTTTGTTTTTCGTTTTATAAATTTTATGTGATAATTTAGTCTTCTTGTTCTTAGTTTATAATTTATGATTATTTAATAGTATTAGTTTGTTTTTGTATCTAAGGTTAGCTTGCTTATATTTATTTATTTTATTATAAATGGTTATTTAAGATTTTCAATATTTCTTCTTGTGTATTTTATGTTTCTTTTTATTTTTAAGTTTAATTTTTTTATAATATATAATTGTCATATTAAACTTGGCTGTTTTGAACTACTTTTAATTATTCTGTTAGCTAGTTCTATGTTTCTTAAGAAATTTAAGTTTCCTATAGTTATGGTTAAGCATCTATATCTTAGTTTTCTTTTATTGTTTGTTATTGAACGTCTTATGCTTTTTAAATATAAAAATTATTTGTATTTATTGAATTCTCTTAAATATAATTAGTATTGACTTTTTAAGGATTTTTAAATACAGATTCAGTTTATATTGGATGAGTTTCAATTTATTATTTAAAGATTTTATTTATTATATTTTTATTGTCCTTTGTATATTCATTTTAAAGATTGGTTTTATTTTATTCAGTATTAATCAAATCGAATAATTATTAATTATTATAAGTTTATTATTAATTATTTTAATTTTTAGACATTTATTATTAGTTATCAAGTATTTATTATAAATTATTTTATTGATTATATTTTTATTGTATATTATTTAATTATAATTATTAATTATTTTATTCTTATTATTAATTATTTAATTCTTTTTAATTATTAAATTATACATATGATTAATTATATATATTATCACATATTTATTATTAATTATTTTTATTATCATATGTTTTTTATAAATTATTACTTGTTTATTATTTGTTATATTTATTTTTATATACTTCTAATTACTTATCATTTTTTTATTATTAATTATTATAACTATTATTAGAATCTTAATATTAATTTTTATTAATATGTGAATTATTACTTTCATTTATTTTGTAATTTTTCTTATTATAAGAAGTATCAATTTAATTATTCTAGTCTAAATTATGCAAGTTTACATGCTATAAATATTATTAAAAATTATTATGTATTTACTATTAATTATTATTAATCCTAAGAAAATTTTTATATCTCAATTAAAAATCATTTTATTAGTAATATTTATTTTATTGTAATTTTTCATATATAGATTATTATTTTTAATTATTATAGATATCATTTAATTTGTTTTCTTATAAAAAAATTTACAAAGATTTCACACTTTTATTTTTCTCTAATATTGAACTTTTATTTCTTTATGAAATTATGTTTTTATTTTTATCAATTGAGTCTATATCATCTTTCAATGTTTTAATTCTTTATTATAAATAAAAAATTTCTTTTTTTGTAATTTTATCATTATTAATTAAATAATACTTATGTTTTTTAATATCTTCGAGTTTTTTTAAATATTATTATCCATTATTAATATTTTTTAATAAAAAAATTTTTTATTAAATTTAATTTATTTAGCTTTATAAATAATTATCTATTTTTTATATGTATATGTTTATGTTAGTGTTTTTGCCTTATATTTTGTCCAAATAAATTTCTAATATTTCAGAATTGCTTTTTTTGGATGTTTCTTAAAGGGATTTATTATTTTGAGAATGTAAAGAATTTTATTTAGTTTTTTATTAGATAAAACTTCTATCTTTTTTATGCATTTTTTTTTTTTAATTTTTTTTTTAAAATTTAATTTAAAATTTCAAGCAAGTTTTTTGATTTTATTCATTTTTTTTTCAAAATTTATGAAAATTAAATTTATAATAAAAAATAAAATTTATTAATAAATATAAAAAATATAAAAAATTCAAAAAAAAAAAAAAACTCGATTACATAAATAAAAAAATAAACCAATTTACAATTAATATAATATATTTTTATTTTTAAGTATCTAAAAAAATAAAAGATAAAAAACAGAAAAAAAAAAAAAATCAAAAAGTATTTCTTACAAATTCTGAATTAATTAATAGGCCTTCTGATATAAAAATTTTTCCTTCTCTTTATTAGCCTAAAGGATATTTAACGGAAAGTAAAAAATTTAATAAAGGAAAAGTAAGATCATCTTAATAGTTAAATTAAACATGATTCATATCTTCAGGCGTTATAATTTTACAATTTTATTTACATTTTTCTTATAATATATATATATATATATATATATATATAAATATATATTTATATTTATAATATTTATTTTTACTATATAATTCTATTGATTATTTATATGAAATATGTTTATCTTTTTTTCCATGCAAAAAGAAAACAGGGCATTCTACTTTATCTATATTTGCAATATTCTCGAACCTTTCCTTTATCATATATTTTAAAAAACCGATATATTCTTAAACTATACCCCTTATAGATATAAATGCACTTATTAATACTAATGCTCCTATTTTATATTTAGCTGCTAAATACACTGCAGGTCCACTTCCGAGACTTCTACCGGCAATTATAATGTTTTTGGGTTCGAATTTGAGGTTTTTTATTGCGAATTTTAATATATATTTTGCATCTTTTAATATATTTTCCTCATTACATGGTTAATTTGTTTTATATATTCCATAATTTGGATATTCTACTCCTATTATATTTACCTTTTTTATTTATTTAGTTTCAAAATAAAAATATATTTTTTTTTTATTTTTTTAAATAAAAATAAATTATGTGCATACTTCCATAGAATTTCTTAAATGATTCAATAAATTATATGATTTATATATATCTTCGCCATTTCCATGAAAAAAAATAAGCAAATTAGCCGAATTAGTATGAGATTATAAAAATAAACAAGGAACATGACCTAAATGATATTATAAATTCGGATCATAACCTAAATAAAATGGATCGTCTGTTTTATCTGAAAAAAAATGGTTATTTTTTTTAGATTGTTATGGACTATTTTCTGTTGATTATGATAGTTCATCTGTTATTTTTTTAGAATTTGAACGTTTATACATTATATTTTTCGTCGCTTTTAAATTAGGATAGCAGTATTTATGCATAAATTTATGTGGTTTAGTACTTTGTGGACTTATTACTAGTTATGAATCGTCGTTTTTGACTGTTTTTAGCCTTGGAATGTATATTATTTTACCTAAGAGGAATTATTCGAGGGATATTTTGGATTTTTAGCCTTGGAATATTATATAATTTAAATCCATTTGTTTTTTTTTTATTTTTTTTATTATTTTTTAATTGAATTAATAATATATATATGTAATTTTTTTTTATATTAAAAACAAATAAAATGAAATTTTATAAAAAAAAAAAAAAAAAAAAATTATATATCTTAATATTATATTTTTTTATTCAATTTTTTTACAATTTTTTCATTCTTAATTTTTTATCATTTCTTTAAATATTTTCCAATAATTCCTTCATTTCTTATGCCTAATCGAAATTTCCAGCCCTTAACGCAATTAAATCTTCCCTAAACCAACTATCACTGGGTAAAGAAGCTTCTTCTATTTAAATTTTAGGCGGTTAAGGTCTGAAAGCATCCCAAATTACTTCTTTATTATCTAAAAACACTTACTTAGTCCATCTTCCTTCTATATCATGAATTTTTTATTCAATCCAGTCTTTTTCAATGCCTTTAAATTTCCAATATTATGGACCAAGTTTAATCAGATTTTTTTAAAATTCTTTTTATTTTATTTTATAAATACCACCTCTGACTATATCTTAATGTCCTTCTTTTCCAAATTACCAGAACTATTTTTTATCTGGATTTGAACTTAATTCTAAAATAAGTCTATTTTCTAAATCAAAGGCGATATATTTACCTTCTACACTAACATATCTCTGCCCAAAAGATGTCCCATAGATAGTTCCTGGGGCAGTAATCATCCCTATAGATGTTCCATCATTAAATTTTACATATATAACGCCTTAATTGACTCCTTTTATTGAATTAGTACATAAATGAGCCACATTTTCTAAATTAGAGTTAATTCGGAAGTCTTTATGGACATAAAGTAGTGCTGAAACGGGTGGATGGTGGCTTATTTATTCACAGTAGAAAGGGTAACCCTTTATTCGGCATTAGAAGGTCTCACCTAAGATTGGGTTGAAGGGCTTTTCTAGATCTAGGAAGAGAATTGTATTAGAAATGAGAAATCCTGCTGCTTTTTTGAGTCTTAAAATGGGGTCTTGGGGTGGGTTTTTGAAAAAAAAAGGGGCAAAGGAGAAACTTTGGGCGAATCTTTCTAATATAGAACGCTATTCGAATAGGCTTACCGGAAGAGAGATGTTTAAAATGGATTTTCCATTTATTATATTAGAAGAAAGTTATTTTAATAAATGAGCAACTACCTATTTTTAGTTATTTATTATATAAAGGTTTTAAAAAATCATTTTCCCAGTGCTTTTTTCTCTATGGAAGTTATATTTTAAGGAATAGTGACCTTTTTCTTTCGATGACTGTAAATATTCATCTATATAAGGCTTTTTTTTAGACATTAAATGGTATTAAGTAATAGCTTTTTTTATATGAATTTAGTTTTTTAAGTCTTGGAGGAGATTCTAAGCTTCTTCGGCAGTCAAAGGGTTTTTTTTATCATAATTGAAATTTTGGCAATCAGAATAAAAATCTTCTTCTTATATATTTTCATTATCTTCTTATAGGTTTTATTGTTTTTCTTATAAATTTTTATGTTGTTCTTATATATTTTAATTTTGTTCTATTATATTTTCTTGTTAGTTTGTAGCTTATTCGTTTATTTATTATTTTTTTAGGTTGTTTTATTCTTCTTCTTCTTGGTCTTTTTGTTATTATTTATTGAAACTTTTTTGTATTTCTTCCTTATTTATTAAAAATCTAGGGGATATTTCAATTGATTATTAGGAAATATATTGTGTGTCAAAATCTTTTTCGTCTTCTGAGATTTTATTAAGGTTAAGGATTTAAATGCATTTTTTTAAAAAAAATATATTTTTTTTTTTTTTATATACTGTTTTCTTCTGGTTATTTTATGTTTTTTTATTAGTTTTCTTATATTTCTTATATTTCACTTTGGTCTTAAACTTATTTTATATTTTAAATATTTTCGGTTTATTCTTTTTAAATATTTTATTCTTGAATTTAATTTTTTTATTAATTAGTTGGAGTTTATTCTTTATCCATTTTTTTATTTTTTTATTTATTTAAATTTTTATTTTTTTGAGAAAAAAATTAAATAAAATATATATTTTTTTTATAATTCTTTATTTTTTTGGTCAATATATAAAGTATCTATAAATATTAATTAAATTTACCTTTATAATAAATTTGAGTTATTTATTTCATTTTTTGTTAATGAAAAAATATTTTAATAAATTTATATATACAACATGAATTTAAAAAATTTAATTTTCTTATAAAATTTAAAAATAATAAGAAAATAATTTAATTTTTAAATCGAATAAATTCAAATGAGTTTTAAATATAAAATAAGTTTGATATTTTTTTTATTATATATTAATTATATCTAACCTTTATTAAAGATAAGATTATATAAATATTAATATATATATATATATATATATATATATATATAAAGGAATTAATAAATTAAAATACAAAATATTACTATAATTAATTAGATATATAAACAATGATATAATATCCACTTTAGTTTTGTCAGAAAATAAAAAAATTATTTAATTTATATTTATTTAAAAATAAATAGAACATGTTTAAAATTCAACTTAAAAGAAAAAATAAATCTTAAATAGCTTCTTCTTTTCTTTATACATCAGTAAAAGACAAAGCTTTTTATATAATATCCCTTTTTTTACCATGTAATTAAATAACTTTTTCTTCAATAGTATTTTCATATATAATTCTCCATATATTAACATCTTTATTTTAACCTATTCTATGTACTCTTTCAATTGATTAATCTTCTATAGAAGGATTCCACCATGGATCGCATAATATTATATTATTTGCGGCTATTAAATTTAATCCTACACAAGTTACTTTCATTGAAGCTAATAAAACTGTTGCTTTTTCATTATTATCTATTTATTCGAATTTTCGTATTATCTATTCCTTTTAATTATTTCTTATTTATCCATCTATTCTTTCAAAATTAATTTTTTTTAATTCTAATTATTTCTAAAGTACATTAAGCATTCCTATCCATTAAGAAAGGACAATAACTTTTTAATTTTTTAATTAAATTTAATCTATAATTTCTAAAATTCTCTTTATTTTAACTCCTTTGACTTCTTATTAAGAATCCGGTTAAAAATCTAATAAATCAGTATTTATTAAATTACTATCATCATCATCTTTTAAATCATCTCTTATTTTATATATATATATATATATATATATATATATATATATATATATATATATATATATATATATATATTTATCTTTTTAGCATTTTTTTGTATTTTCTTAGATTTTTTTTAAAAACGTAATTTATAAAAATAAAAGGAAAAGATAGGCGATAACATTTTTTTTCTCATTTAGGTTTTTAAAAAAATAATCATGCTAAAAAGTACTATATATATGTATATTACATTTATATATTCATTAAATCTTTATTAGTTAAATGTGATCTACATATTGGACATTATTTCTTATATTCAATACTTTAAAGAAAGCATTCGTTACATAAAAAGTGACCACATACACTCAAAGAATGAATTTATATAGGTTCAAAACAAATAATACATATTTTAAACTCTCCTTATTTTATTTTTATATTAATTCTTTTTTATAGGCTTCTGTAACTGTTTCTTAGGAATTTTATTTATTAAGAAAATATTAGTTTTATTACGTTTTTTTGGAAGTTTTTCCTTCTAAAAAGGAATAAACTTACTCTTATAATATATTCAAATTTATATTTTTTAATTTATCGATATCAAAACCTTTGAAAACAATAGATGGATGTGCACAAAACTATCTTAATTTAGAAATTATTTAAAAAATATGAATATAACTGTTAATGACTTCTTTTTTATTATTTAATTCCTGAAATAATTTCTAGCTTTAAGAAAAAAGTAAATCATATAGTTTTTTTTCTTATTTCTCCATTTAAATTTTCTCTGTAAAAATCTATTTATTAGTCATTTATAATATACATTATCCATTTTCATATTTCGATTGTTTTGTTCTTCGTAAAATTAAGGGCTTTAAAATCTAATGCAACAAATCAAAAGAATCAGACTTTTTCTATTCATCATTTATATATGAATTCCACCAAAACCATTCACCAAATGTTTCTACATTTAAAAATTATAAAAGACTAAATAAATCCTATAATATAATATACATATATATATATATATATATATATATATATATACATATACATATAAATATATTTATATATATTTTAATAATTAATTTTTACATCTAAAATATTTTCTATAGGAGTTGCTGTTAAGCACCATCTATATTAAGAATTTAATAAAAAACAAGCCTTTGCTATGTTACTTTTTCTGTTTTTTATATTTTGGGCTTCATCTAGGATTATTCTTCTCCATTGATTTTAGAAAAGTTATTTATTATTTCTTTTGTATTCATTTGCTAATTAACTGTATGGTATTAGAACTATATCATAATCTTCTAAATTATAGTTTTATGGTTTTTTTTATTAATAATAATTAAATATTTTTATGCTTTTTTCTACCGAATTATTTTCCAATTCTCTCTACCATTATCCTAATATGCTTAATGGTAAAACAACTAAAGTTCCTAGCCTTGAAAACTCTCGCTTATTTTATAAATCGGAATGAATAAGAGCTATTGTCATTAAAGTTTTACCTAAACCCATTTAATCAGCCAGTATACCACCAAAAGTATGCTTTGAATAAACAAAATCAGTACAAACTTTTCCCGAAAGTATATTATGGTAGATTTTTTGATTATAAGGGAGTAACAATTATTAATAGAATGGATTAAGTTCTCTATCTTCTTAATATTATTCTGGATGGTTTTCAAAAAGCTGTTTTTTAGAAATTCTACCTTCTCTATATAGCATCCAGGTTAAACCTTATTTCTAGTAATTAAAAAGTTAAGTTTTGAAAGTAGAAATGGGTAGAGTTTCCGAATAAAATTGAGAAAGACATGTTTTGGAGAAGTTTTCATTAAGTCTTTTAATATTTTTATTTTCTATATAGTTTTCTTATTAGAGTATTTACTATTATTAATTATTAAAAAAAAATATTTATGATTAATTTTATGTTTAGTATATATTTTGGAATAACAAATATTCTTTAATACCATTCTATTATATGTCTTTTTCGTTTTTATAATATTCAAACATGTTCAAAGTATTAAAAACAAAATTTAAATTATCATATTAAATGTCGTATTTTTAATCATCAAAGTACATATTTGTGGTTATTTTAAATTGGTTTTTTTATTTTTATTAAATAAGGGGTGGAACACTAACCTAAACTTCCATAATATGAAAAAATAAATGGATAAATTCGCTTAAATGCTTTATACAGTCTTCATCCCATTTTTACTATATTTCTTATTTAGACATATTTGCCTTACTTTTTCGTATTCTTCTTTCTTTCATTTTTATTATACTTTCCTCGTTTTTTAATTATTTTACTACTATAGGATCTATTACTATGTTTTCATTTAAATAAACTTCTATATTTACATAAAATATATCTTTATCTTCTTTTCTTGGAACTATTTTGCACAATAAGCTTTTAATGTAATGTAGTTTTTGTAGGCTAATACATTCCATACTTAACATCCATAGTGATTTATTTTTCCAATCTATAATTTGCAATATATATATATAAATATAATATTTATATGTTTTTTTACTTTTTAACCATTTATTCCAATATAAGCATGTGTTTTTATATATTTCAAGTCTAATTTTAAACTTTCTCCTCTATTATCTTATATAGGGTAATAAATAACTTCTAAAGGATCACCTTTTTATAATCCTTTTACAAGACTTCTTGCTTTAAAACTTGGAATGTAGTTTTTGCTCATTATTCTATTAAAAATAAACTTTTAATCTAGATTGATTTATAATTAAAATGTTCCTATATATTTAGGCCATTGTTCAGAGTCTTAAAGTTATAAATTAAAATTATTAATTTTTTATAGTTATTTAGTTTATTATTTATAAGTATTTTTTTTCTAATTTAGAAAAGAATTACTTAAATTTTAATTTTATATTATTGATTATTTTTGAAGTTAAGTGTTTTATAAAAATTTATTATTAATTTATTAATTTTATTATTGTTAATTTATTTACTGATTTTCTACTAAATAAAAGTCTAAAGGAATATCAAATTATTAATCAAATATATTATTTAAATCATTTTCGAAATCTATAAAATCATTACTTTTTATCAAAATTATTTCTTGATTTTCTATTTAGTCTTTTTCTTATATTAATTATTTATTAGCACGTTTTAGTTATTTTCTTAAGTTTTCTGTTTAGAAAATATCAAAGGAATAATCTTATTCGGTATAAATTTACTTTTACTAGTCAAATAAATTAATTGGTTCATAATAAATTGATAAAAAATCTTAATTGTTTATATTATTTTATTAATCCATGAGTTTTTATTTTATTTTATTTATTTATTTTTTTAACAAAAATTTAAAACTATTATAATTATAGTATAGCTTTTTCCTTTTTTTTTTTTTTTTTTTCTTCTTTTCTTTGTAATAAAATTTATATTAAAAAATTATTAAATTTTTTTTAAAAAATATATAATCTTTTATCAATAACATGAATATAAATTTTCTTTTAAAATATATTGATATAAAACTATTATTTTTAAAATTAAACAATTAACAAAAAAATTAATTTTAATATGTATATATAATATATATATAATTTATATATAATATATATTTTTAAATAATTGTATAAATACAATACAAAATTATGTATTTTTTTGTTTTGTTTGGTAATCAAAAATAAATTTTGTAAAAAAAATTGATCAATAGAATAATGTATTATTTATTCACTTATATTTAGTTATAATATTTTATATTCAAAATAAAAACATATATATCATATAAGAATTTATAAGCTCTTTTATAAAAATTATATATAAAATAAAAATAGAAAATAATACAGAAAAATCAAAAAACAAAAAACAAATTTATAAAATAAAATAATTAATTTATATATATATGTATATAATAAAAAATACATACTATATTTATTTTATATATATTTTATATATTTATTATAAAAATTAAATTTATTATTTTCTATTTAATATATATATATTTATATATTTTTTTTTATATTTTAATTTTTTTTTTTTTTTTAATCAAATTTTATTTTTAATCTTAAATATTTAATATAGAAATTTTTTTATTTAAAATAGAATATAAAATATTTAAAAAAAACAAAATTAAAAAGAATAACCTCAAATAATAAATATTAAATTATTATAGATTTTAAGTTTAAATTTTTATTGGATATTTTTTATTTAAAAAAGTTTTTTTATCGAATAATAATATTCCTGAATTATTTATTGAGTTTTAAATAAAAAGAAAATATATTATATTAATATTAAATAGTATTTTTATTTAATTATAAATTTAAAAAAAAATTAAAAAAAAATATTAAATTCAATAAAATATATAAAAATAATTAATAATTTTTAAATATTTATATGCTTTATTTTACTAAAAATATTAAATTTTTATTATTATTATTTTAATAAAAATTTAATAGTTATTTATAATTAAAATTAAAGAAAAAAATTTAATAATTTAATAAATTTAATTATTTACATATTTACATATTTATTGAAAATACACTTTTTAAATTTTTAGTATGAAATAATTATTTTAAAAAAAATAATTACAAAATATTAAAAAAAAATTTAAAAAATTAATATGTCTAATAAAAATTAATATAATAAAAGATAAAATAATAAAAAAATAAATATAAATATATATATAAATATTATATATTTATATATTTTTATATATATATATTTATAAAATAATTTTTGTTAAATCAAAATTATATTAAATTAAACAATAAAATAAAAATAAACTAAAATAACGAATAAAAGGTCTAATGCTTTTATATAATGTTCAGTTTATTTTCTAAATATATATTTTTTTATTTATTTTTAAATTTATTTTAATGATTAATAGTATAATAATTATATCTTTTTTCTTTTTAATAATTGAATTGATCTATATATACTTAATTTTTATTAAGAATTTTTTATTATTTATATTTTTAGCATTTAAATAAAATTCTATTTAATCAATTTATTTATTTATATTGTTTATTTGTTAATAAAAATTTATTGTTTAATTTTTAAGATATAAATTACTATTTTTTTATTCAAAAAAGAATTATTTTTTTGATTATTAAGGTTATTTTATTTATTTTACAAAAAATGTAATTATAATTTAATTTTTAAATAAAAATTAAACATTCAAAATATATAAAATACATTAAATAATTCTAATTTTTTATATCAAAGAAAATTTCAAAATCAATCATCTAAAAAAAATAAAAAAATATATAAAAATAATAAAAAAATAAATATTAACATTATAAGAAATTATCATTATTATTATTATTTTCTTAATTTTAACTTTCCTTTTATTCATTAGCTAAAAACTAAGCTTATTCTAAAGTAATAGCTGCAATTATATATTCATCCAACTTCAAAAGCTACGAATTTTTTCCACCTATAGCCACCCATGCAAATCCATCCATCCCCCAGCTTTTTCCCCAAGAGTTTTAAATTATCCAATATTCTTATCTATTATCCGAAACTCCCCATCCTACAATTTTAACTGAGTGCATTCCTTTTAATTTTGTGGCGTTTTCCGAAACTTAATAAACTCCGTTTTTATAAACTAAAAAATCACTATAAATAAACATATTACCCACAACAGGCCCATTCTATTAAATTTCCCTTTTAATATTTTCTGACGATGTTGAAATGCAATAATCATAAATTTTAGTACTTTCGCAATTTTAGAGATTTTTGCAACCGTTTTATGTGTAACATTCCTCAGTATATAAACCATATTTTTTTGCTTATTGGAAACTTTTAGACACGAAGCCTCCATTGCATTTATATGACTCTTTTTCGTAACAATATATTTGAGGGTTTGGGGAAAACTAATGTATTTAAGTTCCTTAAGTTTAGCCACATATACGATCTTCTATAGATGAAACTACTGCATATGAATAGGCCGAAGAACAGTTTGGGGTTTAGGTTTTGATTTAAATAGGACACTAAGGGTTACGCGTATAAAAATTGAAGGAAATTTAAATTATTGTATGGCTTTATTCAGATTTGCATTTTATGAATTATTTTTTATGCGAAAATTAATTATTAAGTATTTATGGAACATCACTTAACATTTTATTCTTTTTTATTTTTTTTTTATTTTTTTTATTTTTTTTTTTTACTTAAAATAAATCATTAGAACCAATCTTAAATGATTAGCTTTTGTTGTTAAATTTTTCTATTTCTTGTTAAATTATTACTTTTTCGGTAAGCTTTTTGGTATTAGGACCTTATAGAGAATATAATATTGCTATTACTAATACTAAAATACCTACCAAAATTAATTTTGGGAAATATTTTTTAAGAGAAATGGAAATATTGGATTTTTTTCCTTTTCTTTGTATTTATGCTTATTATGCCTATTATAGTGTTTTTTTATTCATTTTTTTTATTTTTTTCAAATAATTAAAAATACAAGTATAAAAATGTATAATTTAATTTTTATTAATATAAAAAATAAGATATAATTAAATTATATATAAAATAAATAAACGTGTAAATAAACTATATATCTATATTTTTTTTGTTATAAAAAAAAAAAATCAATATATACATATTAATTACTGTTTTTGGCTAAAAATAATATCTTTCATTTAATTAATAAACTTTCTTCCATAATTTCTTCTTCTTAAATAAATTCTAGATTTTTCTTATCTTCATTTTACAAATCTTCCTATATTTTATCCAAAAGCACCGCCCAATCACTTTTTATAATTACCCAAATCTACACTCCCGAAGTACAGCAAATCCCGAAAACTATCCCCATCCAAATTCCCGTAATTTAGAAAAAAGTTGCAAAAATATGAGCTAAAATTTACCCTATAAACAAATAAGAAAAAACAAACGACCATGCAGCTAAATTTTATTTCCCAATACCCCTCGTAATCCCTGTTACACCAGCCAAAATTGAATCCATACACATAATGAATTAAAAAAGCATAAAATTATCATTTAAAGTTGATATAGTATTTATATCATTTGTAAAAATCTACACAAACCATTCTTTAACTAAATATAAAGGCACCTAAGTTATAATTAAAAAGCATAACAAAATAGTCATTCCTTATTTAGAAAAATCATTAGCCCTCTTAATATTTTTATTACCCATTTCATTTCCCACAAAAGTAGTTAGAGCAATCGATATTCCATATCCAAATTAATAATATACTGTGTTTATATTGTTCATAATTACATGTGCGTTAAACATATATATTTCTAATCGAGCTGCTTGCATTGTAAAAAGCTCATAAGATAGCCATTCTAAGGTCAATAGAGAACCTATAGGGATTATATATGTGAGGAAATGTCTCTATTATTTAAAGGCGGCTGAAGAAATGTGCATTCCGAATTTTTTATCAATTTTTTTCACCACACAAAGTCTCAATACTACAAAAAGATTAATAAATTCGACAAAAGTACGACCTATAGCCGCTCCTATAATCCCCATTTATAAATATGATATAAAAAAATAATATATAAGGAAAGAAAATCCTGTAGAAATACACACGGCGATCAAAGGAAGCTAATATTAATTTTAGGCAGTCAAAAAACCCTTACAGATATTATAAATTCCATTAAAATAAAAAGCCAAAATACCATATTTACAATATAGGGCCGAATTCATGCTTATTTCCGGATTTCCAATTAGAAAATTTAAACATTCCTCAGTATATAACATTAAAAATAATATAAAAATCATACATAGAGATACTATATATACTCCTCTTTGGAAAAAAACACCAGTCATTTTATATTTTTAGGCGCCGAAAGAAAAACTAGCAAGTGTTTCAACACCTACACCTATTCCTCCGAAAATTCCAACAGCAAAACAATTAGACCACATCAAACCCATGCCAAAACCGCTAATTTCAATATCTTTATTTGATTGGCCAATAAAATATAATTAAATTAAAGATGGAACCCATTCTAGGAACATAAAAAGAGAAGTTTAAAATGATGAGATTAATATTTTATTAAATTAATAACGAAGTTATATGTTTTGGTAGAAGTTTAGACCAAAATAATCAAGAAAAGTCTTTTAAGTTAAATCAGAGGATTCAGGTTGACTTTTTATTTTTTCGTTGGCGGATGAAGAATTTTTTTTAACGATACTATTGTATTTTGAGAGAGATGAAAAACTCATGTTTTATTATTTTTATACAGATAAATAATTGATTTGTAAATTATAAAATTTTTAATTATTTAGAATTTTGCAAAAAAAAAAAAAAAAAAAAAAAAAATAATATTATTTTTAAAAACTTTATTTATAAATTTATTTATTTTTATAAATATTTTGTAAAATGCTTTAATAATTTATATTGATTGTTTTTATTTTATTTATAAAAAGAAATTAATTATTGTATATACTATAAATATATATTTATAGAAACAAATAATAAAAAAAAAAATTTAAATATAAAAAATAGATAGTAAATTTAAATTATTAAAAAGAAAATTTATTATAAATAATTATTAAAAAAATATAATAAAAATAAAATTAAAAAAAATAAAAAATAAGAAAAAAAAATAACAAAAAATTAAAAAAATATAATATATTAACAACAAATATAATTAAATAAATATTTAAATAAATAATTATAATTATTATAAATATGAGAATATTAAATTAAACTAATTTAGCTAAAACATTATATTCAAAATCATTAACAGCTCCTTTTAATTCTTACAAAGATATACATCGCGATGAAATTAAATAATTCAATCCAATTCGACCTCGTTTAGCAATTATGCGTAGTGATCGTCAATCCCGTAAAGTTTTAGAAAAAACCTATTAAATTAAACATAAATAATTAAATATATCAAAACCAGTTCATTAATAATTTAATCCAGAAAAACAAAATGAAATATCATAAAAAAAAGATGAATGGTTACTTGATTTATAAGAAATATATTATAAAATTCATGATTTTCTTTAAAAACTATTAAAGTCTTAAAACTCTAAATAAAACGATAACATTAATTCATCACTTAATTTTAAATAAAATCTATAAAAATAAATGTAAGACACATAAAATATTATAAATAAACTGTCTATTCCAAAATAAGACATATTTTCTGATCGAGAGAGTATTTAATTAACAAAATAATTCAAATAAGGTTTATAGATATTATATTTATTAATGGAAAATATATAAACTACTCAAAGATAGAAAGATTTTATAAATTCTTTGAATTTTAGAAAGAAAGTTATAAAGAAAAATAATTCGCATTTATTATTTTAAGAAGTACGTAAAAGTGCTTAAAGATTACAAAAAATTAAAGTTGGTAATAATTTAGATAATTTATTAAAAATTTAATCTTAATAAAATACTAATAATATAGAAAATATAGATAATATTTAAGAAAATAACTCCTTTTTTTCAAATAACGAATGTACTTTGTAAAATTTCTTATTTTAAAAAAAAAACTTTAGAATTTAATCCATAAACTTAACTTTATTAATGAATCTTTTATTGATTTTACATCTAAATATTAAAATTTGAATACATATTTTAATTAAAGAAAAATTCTTTTAGATTTATATACTTAGTAAACAAAATTGGATTAGTTTTTTGATAAAAACAAGCAAAAATATAAACATTTGTAATAAAATCGCTCTTAATAAGTTCAAAATGATGTCTAAAATATTCAAGTAGATGCTGATTTGTTATTTGATGATGAAAAAGATGTGTAAATAAGTCTTTTTTTATAGGATTAGTTATTAAACCCTTAAAAGACAGGGCATAAAATTCAAAAAATAAACGAAGAAATCGCCTTTACACTTGCCCAGGAAGAGAACGAAATAAAAATGTAAGAAATAAAGTAATTAAATGTAGAATAAAACCAAATATTTTGGGAATAGTTACTAAAAGAAGATAAAAAAATAAGGTAGAAAAAAACTGAAAATATATAAAAAAATAAAAGGAAGAAGTAAAAAAAGAAAAAACTAAAAATAATAATAATAATAATAATAATAATAATAATAATAATATTAATAATAATAATAATATATTTTTTTTTACAGAAGCAATATTTAAATAAGATTAGCTATAAAATTTGTAAAATTTAATATTAAATGCTCACCCTAATAATCCTATATTAAAAATTGCTTTCGCTAATAATAAAGCTTTTTAAAAAAGTCAATAAAATAATAATTAAATTAATGTTTTCCAAAAAAATATAATTCCTAAAACTTCTGAATTTCCAAAAAGATAAATATCGAAAAATTAATTTTAATTAAAATAATAAGAAATAGTTAAATATCCATCTATATCCAAAAATTAAAATACTTAATAATAGTTTTATAAAACAGAAAAAATAATATATCCATCTTATAAAGATTAATCTTCTAATTTTAATGAAAATAAGGAAAATTTTGGAAAACCAAAATATTTATAAAGATATTCGTTTGCCAGTAATTTTCTATAGTAAAATAAAAAAAATCAAAAGAAAAATAGTTTCACAAATTCAACAAGACCGAATACTTAATAAACTTCTAATTTAAATTTTATAACAAAAAGAATGGGTTTAAAAAGTGAAAATGGAATAAGAAGAATATAATAATAGTAGTATAAATAGTAATAATACATAAAATTAGAAATTGATTGTATTCCTTTGTAAAGATAAAAATGTAATAATTATGAAAATTATTTTTTAAAAAATAAATAAAATTTTTATAATGGAACAAAAAAAAGTTAGTCAAATTTTTTTGATACATTAAATGGAAATTTATTTATAAATAAAATTTGATTTTATATTTAAAAATATGTATTATATTACAAATCAAAAAAATAAATAATAAAAATATATGTCTAAATATATATAAATATATATATATATATAATATATAAATATATAAATATATATACTTATATATATATAAATATATAAATAATTTTATATTATTTATATTTTTATTTATATTTTTTATATTTTATATTTTACTTTTACTTTCACTTATACTTTTATTTAAAAAAATATAAAAATTTTATTAAATATTTTATATAATTTATTATATCTTTTAATTATTAATTAATATTACTATTTTAATATATATAATTTTTTTTCATTCACTATATTTTTTTTTATATTTAATTCTAATATATCTAATTATTCAAATAAAACTTTATTATTATTATTTACAAAATCAAATAAATTTTCTTTCATAATTAAATATATTGAAATTTGTATAAATTTTCTTTTCTTTTATAAAATAAATTTATATTATTTAATTTTATATAATTATTTTAATATCTTTAAAATAAAAATATGATATATTAACTTATTTTTTCTCTTTTAATTGCTGTATTAATTCCTTCGTTTTTTTTTTAATAAAAAAGCTTTTGTATTAGGATTTCAGCAATTTCACTTTTGTCACTTATAATTTTTATTTCCTATACTATATTAAAATTTGGTTTCTTTGAATAACCAATTCCTATAGATATTTATTCAAATTGTAATTATCTTGAAAACACTATCGGACCTGAAGACTTTGCAAAAGTAGATTCAAATAGTTTTCTATTTTCATCTAATGATAATATTTAGTAATGGGAAATAGGAGGTCCTAATAAGACATAAAACGGACATATTTATTTATTGAAAATGGATAAAAATTTAACTTCTTAATATAAATTAAAATTAGAAAACTTTCCATAAACAATTCCTTTTCATCCTCATGGGATTTATTTTAGATAAGAAGATTAAGTACTTTTTGTAATAAATCACCCTTATATTTTCGAAACTCCAGGTGATAGAATTGAAATTTTTAAGTTTAATGAATAAAATAAGACTTTGATTTATTTATAATCTATTTATTTTGGATAATAATATAATGGAATATTAAACAATCTCATAGTTTTCGATAAAGGAAAATTATTAGTTACTTAATATTTGTCAACAACAGACCCTAAAGAAGGGAGAACTGGAAGAAACAAATTCCGTGAATTGGCTGATATAGCTGAAGTTTTATTCGAATTGGAATATACTTATGTTTTATCATGTTTATGGAAGGAAGAATATAATTAATAAATAGCCTTGCCTTAATGTACCGTATTAAAGAACACTAAAGGTACAATTAATAATGGAATCACATGGGATAAAGTAAAATATATATTAAATTTTAATATTTTTAAAAATACACAATCAATAACGAAAAAATGGATTATGGCATTTTTTTTTTGTTCGATTGAGTTATTTTTTTTAATAAATAAAAAATATTAATTAAATTTTAGGAATAAAATATTGTTTTTGTATCTGATATAGGTTAATCTAAAATAAATGTATATAATTTGAAAAAAGAAGATGGAAATTTAGAAAAAACAAATGAAATTTAAACTTTAGTATAGTTAGATAATATAAATTTTGATGAAGAAAATAAACAAATAATTGGAGGAGGATTATTTAGAATGATTGATTATGTAAATTTTATATAAGGAAGTAAATAAAAAGGTGAAGTATTACAAAATATGGATATTTATTGGTGTGGTATTTTAGAAATTAACTATTAAAAAAATCTCCAAAAAATAATTTATTCAAATAAAAACTCACCTATAGGATGCACTATAGCTTTTAAAGGTTAAAATAATACTTTATTTATAGGAAATTTTGGAGACAAAGGAATATATAAATGTTAAAGTTGATTTTTTTTTTTAAAAAAAAAAAGATAAAATAAGAAAAAAAAAAAAGATAAAATAAAATAAAAAAATATATATAAAAAAAATAATAATAATATATTTTTATTTTATTTTCATTAATTTTAAAATTATAAACTTTCCTTATAAACAATTTTTTATAAAGCTTCTTTTGTCAAAGTAAATTTCGAATCCCAACTCCAATCAAAAGGTTATTCGCATTCCGGTTCTTCATCTGGATAATGTAATCCTTCAAAATATGGATGTTCTAAACATTATTTAACAGTACATCTTTTGTCAGGATTAAATGTTAACATTTTGTCCATTAAATCTAAAAGTAAAGGATTTGCGTTAGGGTAGAGGTTTTTCCATTGTTATTTAGTCCTTTTAGGTAATGATTTTATATATTTTATAGCATTTTCATTTCCTATATATGACATATCTTCTGCTGTAGGAGTTCCTAATATAGCGATTACTCGTTGAACTTAATCAAGGTAATTTTCGCCAGGAAATAAAGGAGTTCGGCCTACTAATTCAGCCGCAATACAACCTATGGACCATATATCAACTGCTTTTGTGTATTCACTTGCATTTAAAATTACTTCAGGAGATCTATACCATCTAGTTATAACATATCTATAAATGTAATTATTTTAATTTAATTTAAAAAAAAAAAAAAATACTCAGTTTTGAATTCATCTTCTTCTTCGTATCCTCTAGATAACCCTAAATCACATATTTTCAAATCACAGTTTTTATTACATAATAAATTAGAAGGTTTTAAATCACGATGAATTACATTTGCTGAATGAATATATAAAACTCCTCTTAAAATTTGATATAAGAAATATTATATATGTTCATCAGAAAGATCCTTTTATTTTTTTAAAAAAATTAAAAAAATAAATAAAAAGAAATATAATTTATGTATATAAATATATATTAATATAAATATAAATATATAATATATAAATATAAAATACTTAACGCGAGTATATTACTCTATGAAGATCAGTTTCCATTAATTCAAATACTATGTATATATCTTCATCACCTGTAGGTAAATTAGGTTTTATTATATCTAATATAGACACAATATTATCATGATCGAAAAATTCTTAATTATAAATAATTATTTATTAATTTTTTTAATTTTTTTTTTAATTTTTTTTTTATTTTTTTTTATTTTTTTATTTATTTATTTTTTAATGATAAAAATTTATTTTATTACTTAATAATTTTATTTCTCTTACAATTCTTTTTGCATCTATTAAATCATCATAAGCATTATGTACCTTTTAATCGTTTTTATATTTAATAAATATAAATTATTTATTATTATTTATAAATAAATATAAACTTTCTTTATTGCAATTTTCTGACCAGTTTTTTTATCTAAAGCTGAACAAACTACTCCATATGCGCCATAACCTATTTATTTAATTAATTCATATCTTTCATCAACTACAAAAACTTAGCCTTCGTTTTTTAATTTATTTTTAAATTTTTAATAATATTTTTAGTTATTTTTTATTTTTTATTTTTTTATATTTAAATATTATTACCTCCACATTCAAATTTATGTTTTCCTTTAGGTACTATTATTTATTTTTATATTTTTTCTTATTTTTTTATTTCTTCTTGATTGTTAATTTATTTGTTCATTTTCAATTATTAATTTATTTTAATTTAAAAAATATGTATATAAATATTTTATTTTTTTTAAATAATTATATATAATTATATGTATTTAATATTTAAAAAATAAATAATAATTATAAACAAAAATAAACATTTTTTTTTATTCTTTTTTTATTTTTTAAATGATAAATTTATATGATATATGTTTTACTATATATATTTTTACAAATTAAACAATGAATTATAACTAAAAAAAATAGCTAATTTTGTTTTTTTTATCATAAACTAATAAATAATACCTAAAAAATATAAATAATTATGTTTTTTATAATTTATTTTTAATTTATTAAATAAAAATTAAAAATTTAAATAATTCAAAAATATTAATCTGAATTATGGTTATTTTGTAAAATATTTAAACTATATAGTTCATTTTTGATTCTTAGGAAATTTAACAATTTATAGGCCAATTTACTACTTAAAATACATAAAATCTATATATATAAATATATATAAATATATATATATATATAAATATATAAATATATATATATATAAATTATTAATAATTTTACATATAACATTATTGAAAAGACTGATATTATTACAAGTAATTAATAAAAAATAATTTTTTCACATTTATATTTATTCAAATAATAAATTAATATTAATTTTATAAGTATACAAAGAATTCCTAAAAGACATACCTAAAAATTAATAATAATAGGTATACAATATATTTATAATTTATATTAAAAAACTGCTGGTATTATTTTCTTTTTTTTATAACATAAGGCAATAAAAACTAATAATAAAATTTGTATTTAATGCAATAAAATTATTAATAAAAATTATACATAAACTAGACGATGAAATATCTATTAGAGTTGCAAAAATAAACAAAAAGACAATTATTTATATAAAGCAATTAAATTAATATATAATAATATTAAATATAATATCAACAATTCCCAAAAAAGTACACATAGTTAACAAATGCTAATATATTTTAAATATATCTGCTTTTTAATATCATGCATAAATCTTAATTTAAATATATCTTTACATGAAATATTATCTTGATTTTCTTAACGTTCAATTTCTTTCATTAATGTATCAAAAATATTATTAATTTAATCCTGTTTAGCCTGCTTTACAGATATTTTTATGAAAGGAACTTTTAAAATATCAGATATAACTTTCGCATAATTAGTCTTTATTTATTTTACGTTTAAATCACATTTATTTTCTACCAAGACAAAAGGCTTATTATAACCGTTCATTTAAAAAAGCTTATCCTATAAAAATAAAGCATATTTAAAAGAATTTAAATCATCCTTTGCAAACATTATTATATATCCATTTATATTATATTGATGCCTTTACGGAATAAGAAGTAAGTATTCATTCTTTTTAAAAATAAAAAATATATATAAAAGCTTGATTGTATAATAAAAAAATATATTTATAATAATGTATATATGTATATAAAAAATATTTATTTTATATAAATATATTTAATATATTAAAATATTTATATTAATATTACAAACGAAGGTGAATCTATTACCTCTATTTCGCAATTCATATTTCTATATCTATTAATTGTATAAATTAATATATATACATTTTTTTTCATATTTATTTATATATTTTTGTATAATATATATATATGTATAAATTTTAGTTTAATAAATACTTTATACTTGATAAAATGTTTAGAATTAGATTCTATGAAATCCTATATATTATTTTCTGGAAAATAATTAAATAAATACTTGGAAAATAAAGAACTTTTTCCTACTAATTTATAGCCGAAAATTATAACCTTCCATTATGGAGTTACAGGCTAATTTTATATCAAAATGTTTGATATTTAACTTTTATTACCTTTATAACTATAATTGCTCATTAATTATAAATAAAAAATAAATAATAAAAATTAATTAATAAATATTATATTTTTTCAATTAAATAATATTTATATATATATATATATATATATATAAATATGAATAAATATAATTGTTTAATACATGAAAATTATTAATATAGTTTAATATGTATAGATAATATTTGTTAATTTAAATAGCCTTTATGTGTTTAATGTTAAAATTAAAATCATAAAAACCATGAGTGTATTTCTTTGGATATTTTTTTTAATTTATATCTTGAATAGATTTAGTTGTAGAATTCTCAGAATAATATTTAACATAAAATCATTCTTTTGAAGACTTTTTAAGATTAAATTTTATAATAATTTGATGAGTTTATATAAGATATAATATAATTTATTAATTAATAGAAGATAAAATTTACTCAGAATTTCCAAAATGATTTATATATTTTATAAAATGCGTATTAGATAGAACAAAAATATTTAGAAAATATTCGAAAAATTTAAAATAATGATATCTAATCACCAGAAGAGTTTCAAAAAATTTTCCTCTAATTAATTACTCGTGTTAATTCGATTAAACCGCGTTTTTTATTACATAATACATTATCTCAAACATTATAAAGTGCTGATTTAATACTAAAAAAAGCCAATTTTTTATAAAATTAAACATAAAATTCTTTCCAATAGTTAACTTAATAATTATATATCAATTTTGATTTAGAAAAGGAAATATAATAAAGTTTGTAATTTTCTGAACAATTATAAGAGAATATTTAATAAAATGATCATATTTATAATGAAAAAAATAACAGCTAAATATACCAAAAAAGTACATATATGAAAGATAACGACATAAATTAAGAAAACAATAATTAAAAATAAGAAAATAATATTTAAAAATATGAAAACAGTATTATAAAATTGTAAAATAGTATATAATAATATGAAAATAATATTTCATAATAATATGTAAACAATAATATTTGTACATAAAATATATAAATAAATGAAAATATTTAATATATAGTTGATGAAAATATAAATATTTAGAATGAAAAAAGTGCTTTTTTTGATGAAAAAAGTTTACCTTAAAGTATAATAAATGAACATTAGAAATATTTTGTTACACAATATACTTAAAAATAGCAATAAAATATTTAAAAAACATTGCAAAATTTCACCACGAGTACTTGGAAAGCACATTAAAATTAAATTTCTGGTATAAAATTAATGGAAAATGATAAAATAATAAGTTGCGGAGAAGACGGATTCTTAAAAATTTGGGAAAGAAATACAAAAAAATCTATATCTAGTTTCTAAATTACTAAAAGTATTCTTAAAGTTCTAGCTTATGAAGAACAATCTAGAATTATTTGCGTAGGAAGCTAAAACGGAGAAATATATGTATTAAGACCAGTTCCTTAGTGGTAATAAGTCCATATATTTAAAGAAAATAATACATAGATTAATTTTTTAGGTTTCCTTAGTCATAAAGTTCTATGTGTGGGATGTTAAAATGGAAATTTAGGGTTTTGGGATGTCGAATTAGGTTTAAAAATTGGTATTATTAATTTTGGATTGCCTATAAGATGGGTAGAAGTATAAGATTAGAAATGGGGAATATGCGTATGTGGTAAAGGGGTTCGATTATGGGATTTTTAGGGGCTTTAGGTGAGAAAAAGTGTAGATAGTCTACATGATAAGGATATTAATATGTGTAGTTTATTGGAAAAAAGAGGAGTTTTTTTTACTTGCGGAAACGACGGATTTATTAAGGGATGGAATTTGATAGATTTCGGGTGTTTATTGCAAATTTAGGTTTATTGGGAAATTTAGGGGTTTATTATTTTAGAAAAAAAAATATATATGTGGGGAAAAGGAGGGATAGGTGAATGGAATTATGAAGGAGAAAAGATTAAAGAGTTTAATGAATTTGGATTTGTAAAGTTTTTTGTAGGCGATTTTTAGAGGAATTTGGGTTTTTGTAATTGTTTTGAAGGATTTTTGGGACAGATTTTTATTTGAGAATTTTTTTTGTATTTTTTATTTGTTTTTTTTTTTTTTGGAAAAATTTTAGTATTTTAAATTTTTTTTTTATGTATTTTTTTGTATCTTTTAGGCATTTTTTACAATTTTTTGTATTTTTAGAATTTTATGTTATTTTTTTTATTAATTCTATTTTTTTTATTTTGTATTTTAACATTTTTTTTTTATTTTTTTTAAGTTTTTTTATTTTTTTATATATTATAATAATAAATGTATTTTATTTTATTTTCTATAGATTTTTAAAAGAAAAAAATATATTAAATTAAATTATTTTTATAATTCTAAAAATTAATATAAAACATATTAAATTTAAATAATAATGAAAAAAACTGCAACATAAGCTGTTCATAATCATTAATAATAATAAAATCCTGCACCACGTATAGGTCCTCGTACAAGCATAACTTAGTAAAATTAATATAAATATATTTCTTTATATTTTTTAAAATAATAACAAAAAAAGAATAAAAGCTTAAGAAAAGCTTTTAGCCTAAAAAGAACTATTAAAAGCTGAAAAAGAAGAAAAAGTAATAACATAGGAATAAATTAAGAATATTAGTTAATGTAAAATGATATAATATATATATATTAATAAGATAATTTAATCAAAAAGTGAATTTAAGTGAAAAATCTATTGCTTACCCAAAAATTTCTGATTTATAATTTATTTTTGAATCATAAAAAAATAAATAAGTTAAACCCTATTATAATGATGGAGATCCATCGATGTATATATTATTTTTAAAAATTAAAAATATTTATTTCATTTAAAATAATAATTATAATATTAAAAAAGGTACACTTAATAAGTAATTGATCAAAGATAATAATTAAAAAATGATATAGATATAAAATAAACAATACATGAAGTAAAAAAATGAAATAAAAAAATATAAATATATATATATTTATATATATATATATATATATATATAATTATATATATATATTATTTATATTTAAGTTTATGAAATCTTATAATTTTG